AGCTTCAATCCACTTAAACCACCAGTACTTCCAAAAGTAATGGCCGCATGCATGCCGCAACATGTTGGAGTGAACGGGCCTGGGGCACTGAAATAAATTCATTCAAGTGGAAAAAAAAAAAATAGTGCGCACTGTAGGTGATCGTTAAGTCTTGTCCCCTCCGAGGGCGAGACAACACCCACCTACAGCACCTCCCCACATCAGCTTCAATCCACTTAACCACCATAATTCATTTGAGTGGAAATTGATGCGGCACTGTAGCAATGGTTGGCTGCATGCATGCCACGACTTCCAGAAGTAATGGTGGTTTAAACTGCTAGTACCTTTACCCACTTGAAAAACAAATACGTGGAACGCAACTTTTGGTGTCTAGCCGATGTTGATGAATTTCATTGGCGACTGTGTTGCGTTTCAGGACGCCAAAAGTCGCGGTGAGGGCCCCTAGGCCGATACATGGGAAAGGTATTGGTGGCTTAACACCGACAAGGCAACAACAACTAATATGAAGAATCACAAAGGCTCACAACAGCAATAATCATGACAAGAATAAATGCGGCAACAAAAATTAAAATGTTACCCTTTGCCAACTATAGTATTTACAAAAAAGGCCACACCACTGACAATAGTAGTACAAATGACATCATATTGCAACACTTCACTCGGGGAAACTTTTTTTCTTTTTAAATGCTCCAATCTATTCGTGGGGAGCAGCACGTGCTGGGAACCAGGCCCAACGTCCCTTATAATTGGAATACATGGATGATGATGAAAATTTGGGAACACTTCAAGATGATTGAGATAAAGCTTATGTCACTTCTCCTTTTCACCTTCCAGCACCGGGCAGGTGTCAGACTCTCTACATCGTGTTAATAAGCTAGAGATTGGTGCTGACTACTCAGAATGCTTATCTACTCAGATCTCACATACTACCTAACCCGAATCTCAGGTATCCATACCAACCAGCCAGTCTCTACCGAGCCAATACTGTGTACCAACCAAGCCTCGACCCGGTCGTACACCCCAATCTAGCTAGGTTACAGGGCAGCGCCCCCCAACCCAGTGCCGACCCTCGTCGGCAAGATTGTGCCTTTGGTAAAGTATTGTCATTTCCTTCCACCCTCCACAATCCCCAGATTGGAGCCACCTAGGAGTGCGCACGGGTTGCAAGCCTCGGGCATGTACCGGTTCGTCCTTTGACGTGGAGAGAGTGGCAGTTTTGGAGCCGACCACATTTTGGAAAAAGATAGTGCAGTCGGCGGGGTTTACCATCGACGTTAGAATGGAGCGAGTATTGGATGCTGACGGAGGTGAATGACGCAGGGGTAATACCGGTTTTCGAAATTTCAAACTAACGAGCAAAATGTGCGCAGTTGGTGGGGTGTACCCTCAACGGCCGATGAACTGGACGCGGTTGCAAATTGGCAGGTGTATGATGTAGCCTCATGTAGAGAGACTGTCAAATTTTGAATTTTTGAATGTGTGCTAATGGGGGGGTTGTAGTTAGAGGCAATAGCTAGAGACACAAAGTATTTAAGAAAACAAAGGGGTAGGTGAATCTTACCTTCCAAGTAGTAGCCCTTCGAGTAGTAGCCCCTGATGAATAGAAACGCATTGGGCGGTAATGCCAAGATGTGAGAGCAGGATGCAACTTCGAGCAACAGATTGTTGTGCTTTACTAACATGTCTATTATGTGCTTCGAGAGGGATTTTTTTCGAGTATTTTCTATGTCCTCCATGAGGATCTCTTCGGGTGTGGAGGTTGTATACGAAGTCAGACAGATTTCATTCTTCGTTCTTGGTCTTCATGGTTTGATGCAACCGCGCAATAAGTGGTCGGGTTCCCCACAAAACTTGGTTATCCCCCATCTTGAAATATTACGCAACCATCGTCGACAAGTTTAATTCCCTGTTTGGTTATCACGTTCGTGTACGCTGGGACCATCGTGTTGAACACCCTTTCAAGCACCGTGCACAGAGCACACAGATAGGAAAGCGGTGAAGGTCAAGGAGATTGTCAAACGAATTCCTCGACTAGATATAGATTAGTTCACGCTGATGAGTAGCTTGGATCGCGCCTGGTCCGCTAACCGGTACAATCTGTCGATCCCCATTACTCGCCGAGGTAGACGCAACATTGTTCCTTCCATTGATTCCATTCTTCGTTTTTTGTCTTCATGGTTTGATGCAACCGCGCAATAAGTGGTCGGGTTCCCCACAATTATAGCATTTTGGAACTTGGTTATCCCCCATCTTGAAATATTAT